CTCTTTATTTCCCTGAGAACCATGTGCATTTCTGCAGGGAATGTAAAATTGAATTTCAAGCACAGGAAGTGCTCTGTTACTCCTCTGGCACCACAATGCAGAGCTGCTTTGTTGCTTGCTCTAAAATAGTAAGCTAAGCCTGTCCAGCCGAGTGCAGAGTCAGGAAGGAGCCTTCTGATCCCCAGCACCAAAATGGATCTCGCCGGGCTCTTGTCAGCTTTCCCAGGCAAGCACTTTCCCTGCTTTATCGCAGTGGACACATTAGCAGCATTAGGACTCCCAGCAGAGTCTGCAATGCAATTTGTAACCTCCCCCCAGCCCTTGTCCTCCATCCAGCTCTCCTCCCGGCCTGCAGTCCTGCCAGGATTTCTGCCAGGAGTGCAAAAGCAGGGATTAGCTCCCCCTCGTGAGCCTGTGAGCCAGCCCACCGCGGGCATATGCAAAGCAGCAGAACTCCATGGAACCCAGCAGAGACACCTCATGGCAAACCCCTTCCCATCAGATCCCAGGATCAGGAACTGGATAAGAAATCAGCAAAACCACCCCATCCCACTCCACTCCTAAAAAAACACAACCCCAAGACAATAGAACCCCCCAAAGCCCAAACTAGCACCAATAAAGAGGCAAGGAGCGTAAGCCTGGTCTGGCAAGACCCTCACTGCTCCTTCCTTCTGCAGACAGCATTTCATCTCAAAGCCTCTGCATCCAGCCTTTGTCCCTGCAGGCTGTGGCAAACAAGAGCCCCTGGCTGACTCTTGACCCCTCCAGCTGAAAGCAGGGTGGGTGGGAATCACTCTGTGCCTCTCCAGAAAACAGAGCTGGCACTGGAGAGAAAAGGCCACAGCAAAAGCTTTGTGCACTGGTACCTTCCCACTGCTTGCCTTCCATTGTTCCACCACTGTGAAATCACTCTTTTTTCTGCTGCTCTTCTCCCCTCCCTCCCTGGGTGTCCCCCACAAACTCTCTCCAGCCTGCCTGTTCACACCTTGGTAAGGAGTGTTCATGGGTTTGATACACCTGCCACACTTGGGAACTTTCACAAGGTTAACCAAGCACCAGCAAGGCATGCAGGGGGTGAAATGAGTCCTCTGCCATAGGAGCACAGCCCCCAGCTTTGAGTTCTGCTGCCAGGTAACCCATAGGACAGGCACAAAATCCCCACAGTCACACACAGCATCGCCTGATGATGAACACTCAATGAAAGCAGAGTGGCCAAACTGCTAGAACTATTCTGAGTTTTTTTAAAATCATAACATTAAAGCACAAGCGAAAAAAATCCCAAAGCCCACAAATACAAACTACATAATAAATAACTCATGGTGCTTTTTCATAAAAATCAGCTATGAAGAATTACCCAGAGCTTAATGAAAACCATGCAGGCACTGGAATCCTACACCCAGCATGTCCTCCAAGTAGGAACAGGAGCAGCCCTACTAGTGCTGCTATCATTTCACCTGTTTATAAAGCTGGGGAAAGCTCCTACCTCTGCTCTTTGTGCCTTCCAGTGGTCACATGTGCAGAAAATAAAAAGAAACAGCAGAGCAGGAATGAAGAAGAAGCAGCAGCAGCACTACCACACAGCAGATTTAATCCTCCCAGTGCTGGCTGTGCTGGCAAGCCCCTTATTGCCCCGTGCCCCTCACCTGAAAGCTGTTGGGAGGCCAGTTGCAGCAGTGATGAGTTGATGGGGTGGCCTGAGGAGTTTGGGATTCATGGGCCGTGCTCAGATCCTAAAACAAGTCACCCTGACACTGCTGTGTCACCCTGACCACGTGGTTTCATCCCAGCGGTGAGCACTTCTGTCTTGGGATGTGACAGATACCACACTCTGGAGAATGGGATCGACTTCTGCTCTCTACCGTGTGTAATCTGCTCTTCTCATTTGCATAATTATCCCAATATCCAAGGTGCTCCCTCACCTGAAACCCATGGACCAGGACAGCCGTGGTGTGTCCAAACCACTGCCATCTGTACCTCCACGGAAGGGATTCTTTCTTGTACACCCAGCTGATGTTTCTGTTTGGGCAGTGCAAGGCACAGTTTCTGTGAGGCTCTCCAATGCATTGTCTTCTGGTTTTTTTGGTTTTTGTTTTTGTTTTTTTTTTTTTGCTTTTATAGTCAACAATACATTGCAATTAGCCAAAGTTCTTGGGGGCAACTGAAACATGTGGACAATAAAACTCAGAAATGCAAACTCTCCTTCAGTCCTTCCACAGAGCCCCCAGAACCAGCACTTTTGCCTGTAAAGGCCTTGCTGAAAGCCAAGCCCTGCAGGGACACTAAAAGACTCCAGCCAAACTCAGAAATAGGAAAGCCCTTCCCCCCGAATCCACATGCAACTTTAAAGGCTTTGATTTTTAATTTTTAACTATTATTATCACACACTTGGGGCAGCCGTGTTCCCTCACCTTTCCCTGCTCTTCCTCTGCAATCAGGAAAATGTCCCTGCATCTGGGAATTGAGTATTTTATTGTTTCTAATCATCTCCTGCCCTCAGTGTTACTATTTCATACTCCACAGACGCAGCTTTTCCTGGGTCAGTGGAATTCCCCACTTCCAAATAAAGGTCACAGAGCTTTTCCCTTTCCCTTTTCCCTTTTTAACCTGCTCATGGCTGCAGAACTGGGTGCCAGAAGAGATTAGAACAACAAAGCTCACAGGCTTCAAATCAAACCACGGCCTTCACCTTGCTCTAGTTCATCTTCCATCAACAACAACTGGAGCTGCACAGCAAAATCTCAATCATTTCAAGGCTTTTTAGAACTCAAGAGCTGCAGACAGCCCAGGGAAAATAATGGGGAAAGCACTGCAGCAATTACTCAACTAGTACTGAAATACTTGCTCAGTGCATGGAGAAAATCCCCACGGAAAATATACACACATATGGCAAAGTATAGAAAATGGCAAGTATAGAAAGAAAAAAAACCTAAAAGAGGGAAGAAATAAGTATTCTTGTAGTTTTAGTACCTCTTATTTCCACAAGTCACAAAGTAAAAGCTTTAGATGTTGGACACTTGAGATGCTTTTAAGATTAGGTAATTTAGGTAAGAATCATCATTGTATGAAAAGCAATGGCATGTGCTTATTGTTAGATAATTCCATGAGGAACGGCCAGAGGAGGTCAGATTTATACCACAATTCTAGAATTTCCTTTCAAAGAGAGAATTATTCCCCCTCCCCCAAAAAAAAAAACCCCAAACCTCCCAAATGAGAATTTGTGAAAACAAGCTGGAAAAGTTGCATCAGGTTTACCAAGGTGAAAATATTTATAGCTGGTGCAGTTGTAAGACAATTACAAAACAGGTGGATGGAAGAATCAAAGCCTAAACACAAAAGAGTAATTAATAACAAGACTGTTTAACTCTTTGCCAATATCCTTTAAACTACTCAAACATCTACAAAATTATCCACATGGAAGAAATTAAAGGTAATGTAATGCCTTTTTTTTTGTTTGTTTATAAATAGATAAATAAATTTAGAAAGGCAGCAGTAGGTCAACAGTGACGTTCACCAATAGGAAGTCAGATATTCCTAAGATTTTGGAATTTCAGACTTCCTTGTTATTGTGGAACCCACTGGAGTGAAGAGAGCTGGGCACTGACAGAAAGAATTCAGTGGAATGCAGAGACTGGAAAGGCTTGACAACATTTACCTGTCACTATTTATAGTTTTAAATATATTTATATATATATATAAAGCAATGACCCAAGAATATGTCAATATAATAGCAATTTGTTCAGAGGAGACAGAAAAATAAGCAATAATTTCTCTGTGACTCAGACAGGGATCATTTCCTGCTCCATCTCCTGTGTTATTAACAACTCCCGTGTTTCCCCTAACAGAGGGCAGAACATGACAATGTTGGGCAGTTCCCTGTGAGGGGGTAAAATGGCCATTAACATCTTTAAAAAAGGAGGAGGAGATTTCAAAGAGTTTTGGTTATTTTGGTGTTTTGTTTTTTTTTTACTTACCAGCGACACACCAGTAAAGCCCCACTCATGCAGCGTTAGGAGGGAAATACGTGTAAATATTGGGAAAAACTTCCCAGTCTGTGAGCAGAGGAACAGGCAAGGACAGTGAGAGGAATAGGAATTACCTTCATTTTAGTGGAGAAATGTGCCACAACCAGCAGCCCTAAGGAACATCCCAACAATGGATTGCTAATGGAAACCTTCTTGCTGTTGCCTTGTAAATCATTTCCCAGTTCTTTCACCGCAGGCTATTTACAGTACCACTGAGTTACAGATTATCCCTGTTCCCATGAAGGCCTAATGAGTGACCAACGTTCTAATTAGAATTAGAGCACCAGGTACAACAGCCAACAAGGCACAGGTGAGGTATTGTTTGCTGCTCGCTGTCACTGCACTCTGGGAGCGATAAAATAGGGGATAACGGGAGTTTTCCATCACCTGGGATCACCCTGCACGTCTTTATCCGTACAAAAATTGAATAGATAAGCCCAGCCTCGACTGTGCTGTGACACTGTGAGTGACAGAAGCATTATAACAGTCGGGGTCTCCGGGGCCATGTCCCCTCGTCTCCCGATTATCCCCAAACCCAGGGAAGCCGCAGCCTGGCTGGGAAAGGCAAGGCAGGCCGTTGCCGTGCTGGGTGACTGTGCCCTCGGTGGGTAACCTCGGGTTTGGGGGAGTGCCGAGCGCTGTAGTTACTGATTCCTCCTGTTTCAGCGGTGCGCGGGGCCCACGCTCGGGCGGCCGGGGATGCCGCGGGATGATGGAGCGCGATGATGCCGCGGGATGATGGAGCGGGATGATGCCGCGGGATGACGGAGCGGGATGATGCCGCGGAAGTGCTCCCGGTTGCCTCCAGCCCCTCTGCCGCCCGGTCCCCGCCCTCCTCCTGCCGCGCGTTCCCAGCGCCCACCTTCGCCAGGTAAGGCCGGGGTGCCGAGGGCCCGCTGCCAGGCCTCCTCGGCGCGGTGCGGATTCCCGGGAATGCCGTGAGGGCGGCCCCGCCGCGGGCGGTCCCGCCCCGTGACGCCGGTTGCCATCGCGGCCGCGCCGCCGGCCATGGCGGCGGAGGAGGAGGACGACGTGGAGTGGGTGGTGGACACGATCGCCGGGTTCCTGCGGGGGCCCGCCTGGTCCATCCCCATCCTGGAGTTCATGGAGCACAACTGCGAGGGTGAGCGCCGGGCCGGGCGGGCGGGCCGGGCGGGTCCCCGATGGCACGGCCGGGCTGTGTCCCCTGGCCGCGGTGTCCCCCCGCTCCCCGGGGCTGTGCGCGAACGGCCGCGGCCCCGCCGGCCGCTCCCGGGGCCCGCGCTGTGCCCCGAGCCAGCCCTGCGCCGGCATTTGCACCCATTAGCTCGTCCTGGGATTACGGCGGGAGCTCACGGCGGACACCGAGCCAGCGCTGCGCCCCGCTCGGCCGCCGAGGCTTTCCCGGAGCCGGGGGCTTCCCGTGGGACACCGGGCAGGACAGCCAAAAGCACCGCCCGGCCGGTGGGACAGAGGAGGAGAAGGCCCAAAGTTGAATTCCTGTAATTGTGTGAACGCTGGCAGTTCACGCAAACCCCATAAGGTGGTACCTCTCAAAAAATGATAGTCGGCACTAAGAATCAGTGGTTACCAGTCCTGGGCTGTAGTTGGTCCTGTCTGTGAGTTTGGCTCAGAATCAGCTCCAGTTAAAACTCCTTTTCTTCCTCAAGAAGGAACAGAGGGAATCAAGGAAGAACTTGGGGAGCATCCTGGAAAAGTGGAAGTGCAGGCAGTGAGGGGGACTTGGGATCCCCCTGTAGCTTGGGGAGACCTGCACGGGTGTGTCTGCAGTGAGGGAAGGAGGAAACACTTCCTGACGGAGAGATTTGGCTAAATTACTTCCACTGCTCACAGAACAATTTCTGCTGCCAAGGAACACCTGGAGCCTTTTGGGACCAAAATAAAGACCATTTGGGCAAGTGTGAAAGCAGTGCCTAAACCCTTTGGAAAGCAAAGGAGGCTTTCATTTGTGATTAGTGACAAAAATTGCTTTTCAGTTACCCTCAATCATTTGCACTCCTCCCGAGCTTTGCATGGGGCATGATCATCGTGGGGCTGTACGACTTGCCCTGCTCCACCAGGACAGGAGGGAGGGAAAGGGATAGGGAAATCCCGCCTGGAAGTGTTCTCCTGGGAAGTCTGCCCAAGCAGTGTGGTATCATGCAAAGGGTGTAGGTTTAGGTGTCCAGGGAATTGATTTATCCCTCTCAGGAGCGATGATCTCTCTTTAGAAGGTTGAGGGGAATTTGCTGGCAGTAAGAAGATTGTGGGCCTGCTGTAAATTTCCATGTACCATGAGGCAGGACTGTGCTGGGGCCTCCTGCTGTGCTGATCCCACTGCTGCTCTTGCACCCACATACTTTGTCAGGGCACGATTCTTCACATTGCCAAAACGTCCAGTCTTGGGGCTGCACGAGCAAATTAGCAACCTTTTCATCAACTGACAGGAATTTGTGGTTGCTCGAGAGTACAATGTGAATCTTGGTGAATTGGGGTGTAAGGAACTAATTTTGGAACTGTAGTTACTTAGGGCAAGTCCTTGCACTTCAGCCTGTAAATGGCCATCATGGTTTTCTGTCTGTTCATGGCTGCTTGCTTTCTCTGGCTGGAACAATTTCCCTTGTTGTGGAACTGCAGTGGGATCCATGGGGGTGTGCTTAGGGCAAGAAGGCTGTCTAGTTTTACTCAGATGTTCCCAGGTGCTCATTGGAACGTCATTTGGGCCCAAATAAGCTTGGTAAGAGTTGTGAGCACCAGCAGGTAAAGGTACAAAAGGCATGAACAGCCCCTGTGGCCTGTGACTCCCTCCCAGCACAGAACCACCTCAGCAGCCCCTCACTCACGCCAAACCTGACTTGAGCCCATCCCGTTTGAGGGGTCCCAGCCAAGATTTTCAGTTTTACCAGGAAAATGGAGAGCCAAAGACTGTGTGCCAAAACCCCCCAGGAACAATGACTGTGTGATTCAGGAGCCCTGAGTCAATGAAATCCAAGGTCTCCGCTCCAAGCGCTCCTAATGCCACTTAGGCAGGAGGAGATGCTGACTGCAGCTCCCTGCACTTGGCACTGAAGCTCTCCCAGCGTGTCCTCAGGCTGAGGACAGAGCACAGCCCCGGGTCACCCTGCCTGGGGGTTCCCAGGGCGGGAGGGGACAGCAGCACAGAGGGCACAGAGGAGCCAAGGGTGAAGGTTGGGGTTTCGAAGGGCTGGGAGGGACCCCTGGAGGGGAGGAGATGCACGAGGCAACAGGGGGCTCTCAAGTGCCTTCGCCCTCTTGGGCTTGGCAATGTGGTTGGTTGCCGTGGGAACAAGATTTATAGAACTTCTCCTACCGTTTCAGTTTATTGTTAGATGTTTTAAAGTATATGATTTTTGGATTTTTTAAAATTTCTTCATTAAAAACGTTGCCTTGTGCAACAATCCAAAAGCCTGTCCAGGCTCAGGGCACTCACAGCAGGTGAGAGGTGTCGGGAAAGTCACCCTCGCTCTGGGTGGAGGTCACACTGATTCTGTGGCCATCACCCCCACCAGGGATGGCACTGACACCTGAAGAGTAAAACACTCACCCACCGCTTCAAGCACAATTCCCGTGTTCTCCCAGCCACTTCAAAGGATGCTCCTGGGAAGTGACTCGTCCGACCCGGAGTGGCTAATCCTGAAGGGGATTGAGGCAGCCTTATTTCTAAGCCTCTGCTTTAATTGCCAGGTTTTACATTACCTCTCCTCATTGCTGGCATGACAAAGATGTAAATGAAGCCCCCCCAAACCCTTTAGTTTTCAGCTCCTTCCACCTCCCCTGCAGCGCAGAGATGGTGAGCCTGATGGTTCCACTCAGGGGTCCTGGATAGGGGTTTGTATGAACAGCATTAACAAAGAGCTTCACCACATTTCCTCTTTGGGTTTGTCTGCTTTTGTGCAGGCAGGGGCTCGTTTTCCTGCATCACCTTGGCTCAAAGACTGACATCTAAAGAGATTCAGTTTAAGCCATTAATTATTCCATCCTCCATGTAAATACATGGAGAGGGAGAAATTCCCTGCTTTATGTGTCATCTGCCACCTTGGAACCCCCCTACACAGCTTCCTGTGCTAGTTCCTCTATTAAATCTTCATTTTTAGTGAATGTAAAAGATACATTTCCCCAATATTGAATCGTGGAACTTCATTCCATTAAACTACCAAAAGCACACGTTTGGCCTGAGTGTGGGGAAAAAACACGTGACTACAATAACTTCATGTGGTTAAACACATTACATGAAATATATTGCCTTGTAAAGGTTAATGTCTCTGTTTAAGGCATCAGCTGATTTGTGTACACTGACCAGAAAATGTTTCTTCCTCCCCCCCCACCCAGTTTTTGACGATGAAGAAGAGAGCAAGTTGTCTTACACAGAAATTTATCAGGAGTACCAAGCCCTGGTGAGCATCACTCGCTGTTTGGGGTAAATTGCTCAGAAAACCGATTTAAAATGTTGGATTAGTGCTTAGCTGAGCTTCTAACTGGGTTATCTTTGTAACTTAGAATTTTCTAACGTTGCCTGTGATTTAGAAATCCTTTGAGCTCTACTTGTCACTTGTGCTTAAACACCAGACAGGTAGAAAAGAGACTGTGACACACTCACATCTTCTGCTGTGCTCCATTTTTAATTAAAGTTAATATATCCACTGCCTTCCAGACTGTATTTATCAGCTTGGTAATGTTGTTTTCTGCCAAGTTAAAATGACAAAGAGCAGGAAGTCTGAGAACACACACACAGCTTGTATTTCGTTCACTAGGGAGCCTTTTGAATGAAATCTTTGGAGTTAAATTTCAATTGTCAGAAAGAAACTACAGGATTTTTTTTTTTTTGGAGCTTAAATACCTCCAAACCAATACATGGAGATTTCCAAAATACCCTTTTTGCAACGGGGCCTGGGAATACTTGATGTTAAAAAGCATCAGGTGAATAAATACAAGCCAGCTTCCATCAGAAAAACGAGTTACAAGTTGTCCTGGGAGTTTAAAAAGCACACCAGCAGAAAAGAATGTACAGTGGTGAAAAGAATTCCTGTGATTCTCAGGGAGAAAGCTCCCAAAGCCAGGCTGGTCCTTCCCCACAGGTGGAGAAGCTGCTGGAGGACTATCTCAAAGAGGTTGGAATCAACGAAGAGAAGTTCCAGGAGGCTTTCTCATCCCCGCTTGCCAAGACCCACACCTCGCAGGTATTTGCCTTCCTGAAGCAAACACATCAACCCTCAGCTCTGGGGGGGAAGTTTCATTCTCAGCTTGGTGTTTGCACTGGCAGAGCAGGGGGGAGATGAAGCTTGGAGAAGTTTTCTTGTCGTAACCTTACCCTGGGAAAGCCAGTTTGTCTTACTGCCACGATAACTTTGTCATAGTATTGTTGTAGACATGTTGATCTAAAGGCATAACCCCCCAAACTCTTTTCCTGACTACTACTGTATGTCTGGAACAGTAAACAGGTAGGAGAATGAGCTATTAAACCCTCAACCCCTGCCCCTCAGAGTGGAAGTGCCAGTGGAATTGCAGGCAGGCCGAGCTGGCTGCGATTCCTGCAGGGTCTGATTTGGGTGTATTTCCCCCCCCCAGGCCATTCTGCAGACGGTGTTGGCAGCAGAAGATTTTAGGCTTTTTAAAAAAATGATGGTGCAGAAAAACATTGAAATGCAATTGCAAGCCCTTCGGATCATTAAGGAAAGGAATGGTAAGAAGGGGTGAAAGGGGGGATCACCTCAGGGTTGTAGAGTTCTTCTGGGGCCTGTTTAATCCACTCCAAAGGAGTGTGGAATTCTGGTTCTGCCCCAGCTCAGGTTATTGGAAAACTCGCAGTTGATGTTCCTGGGACTGGGATTTCAATGCTCACTCCTTGGCTTGCATTCCCAGTGCCAGCTGCCTGTGTTAGAAATTAACACATTTTTCACTTCTGCTTGTCTAAACTTCTCCGTGAGGCTCGACTGAGCTGTTTGTTACGGAATTTTGGTGCCCATTTGAGTGTTAAAACAATCAGATCAGTCCCTCAGACATGCCAGTAGTGGCAGGTGGAATTCTGCTGAACTGTCTGCAATTCACACTGAAAAATCCCCAGGGAAACCAGGAGCCAAAGCCTTCACCGTGCTAATACATACCTGGAAAAGCAGATAATGCAACCCCAACTCTGCTGCTTCTGAAGGATTGTCATCTCCCCGCTCCTTCCTCCTGTTCCTGCAGTTTCCCCATGCTGGTTTGTCTCCTGCTTTTCAGGGAGCAATTGAAGATGTCCCCTTTCTCCCAGCAGCTGAATCTGGGGGTGGATCAGTTGGCCATGGCTGAGCTGCAGCCTGCAGGAAGCACCACAGAACAGCCAGCACAGAGCTTGGCTCAGCCTGGCACGGCCAAACTGCCACGGTCAGGAACCTTTGCCCTTTTGCTGCCAGGATCCAGGACCTTTTCCTCCAGGATCACCCAGGACCTTCTTGGGAACAGTTACAGAGAGGAGGAATTAGATGGCTTGGGGTTGTGGATGTGGTTTTCTTGTGTTTGCTTTTTTTCTTTGGATTTTTTTTTTCCTTCTCTCTGCCAGTTGGAGCACAAAAATCACTTCCTTTACAGTAAGACATAATTTTTGCTCTTGTTTTTTTCCAGGTGTCTTGCCTGAGTGTCTGACAGAGGGTTCTGATGTGTTCAGTGAGATTGAGCAAGAAGAAATGAAAATACTCAAGGAGGTTCTCAGGTGAGGAACAAATCACTCCTACTTTGGGTGATTTATTAAAATCAGAAATAAAGGTCTGTAGGACCTGCCTTCTCCAGGAAACTGCCTTCATCTTACAGGTGACAGGAATGTTCTTGCCAAAATCTGCTGAACAAATGACATCCTCAGAGACCCCCATTCCCAGTTGACAGGTTTATAAACAAATCCAGGTTGTACTGGAGGGGCTGTTTCCCCTCTGCAGTCTGGAAATACTTCCCTTCCTGCCTTTAAAGCAGCCAGTGAAATAAGGGCTGGATAAGCCCTGGGAATTCCTACACAGTTATTTTTGCCCAGGGAAAGAGGACAGTGGGGTTTGTGTGTTTATCCTAATTCTTAATTTCCATGAAGAGTGTGTTTTCAAGGAAGTGATGGAAATATTTTGGATACTACCAAATACCCGTATCCAAACAGCCCTCAGATATTGAAGCAGTGCTAAACATACCTAAAAATCACTTATCCTGAAGGAGTTTTGAGTCTTTCCTTGTGCTCTGTTACAGAAAATCTAAGGAAGAATATGACCTGGAGCAGGAGAGGAGGAGGACAGAGGAGGTGAGTGCTTTACCTGTGCTCTGAGCTGTGCTTAGGAACTGCTGCCACATTCCCGTCCTGCCTGGGACCGGAGCACTCCCGGAGTGCCATCCACGCACGTATCCCATGGCAACCACCTTCCCAGCACCCAGAATCCTGGGAGCAGATCCTTTCAGGCCCAGAGAACATGGGAATTAGGAATATTGTCAGGATCAAAGAGCCTTCAAAGCTCGAGCTGCCTGGGGCTGACAGCGGCGCTAATCCCTCAGGAATTACCTTCAGGAGCGCTTCAGGGCCAGGGCAGTTGTCGTGAGGTGCTCCCAGCACTGCCAGAGCTCATCACCAGCCCCCAGAAATGCCCTCCAAGAGCCCAGCCCTTCCCACGTGGAAGGGAAACCCAGTGGGAATGGGGGCTGGCCCGAGGGGGGAGTCGTGGCCATCATGACCTGGGAGTTCTGGGAGCTTCCTCAGGGTGGGCAGGTGGGTGCCTGCAGTGCAGAGCCAGGGGCTGCAGCATTGGGTTTATTTCCTTGCTTTCTGATTGAAGGCACAAGCTAAACTCAAAGCACCAGATGCCTCCCACAGTTCTCCAGGGAATTCCAGAGGAGCTGTAAAAGTAAAGGAACCCACTGAGGGAGCTGAGGGTGCTGAAGAAACTCCAAGATGTGCCCCAGGTAATTTTAGGGTGGGGGGTGCGTGTGCAATGCTGAGTGTGCAATAGGAGGTGGGGTTTAAATTATACAAGAGTCCACTCGTGTCAAGATTTTCAGGCTGTGAGTAAAACAGCCTTAAATAAAATAATAATAATAATAATAATAATGATAAAAATAAAAAGAAAAGAACAGCACCTGACCTTCCCTGGGAGGAGTTCTGCTCAAGAGGAGTCTCAGGAAAGTTCTGGAACACACCCTGCTCCGCTGTCTGGTGACTGGAGAGGCCTCAGGAGAAAAGGGGAGAAATGTGCCTTTTTTAAGTTTTCCACTTCATGAAGACACATCTGGACAGAGGAAGAAACGCTGATCTGTTATTTTTATCTCATTTCTCTTCTTTCTAATTTCTCTGTCAAATTCCTCAGAGGGATCTCATAAATCTCCAAAGGAGGACCTGAGGCCAGTCTGCCCAGTACAAAAAGGAGCTGAAAACTCACCTCAGCCCTCCTGTGCCAAGGGGAAAGAGGACTCCAAGAAGAGGCCTGCTGGGAAACGCTCCGAGAGCACAGCACAGAAAGCTGCTCTCAAAGGGCCTGTAAGTCTGAACCAAACCAGAACAAACCCCCCAAACCTGGAACTACAGGGCCAAGAGCAGGCCTGCATGTGGAATAGATACTTCACACAGTGTTGTTTCTGTCCTTGGAATCAGGTTGCTTCGGGGTAATTTGTTTTAAAAACCAGCGTGCAAACACTTTTGATGAGGTTCCCAGGTTAATTAGCAGAGTTCAGCTCGTGACTCTGGGTTCAGAGTGGGGTTCAGCCTCAGTGCCACCATAATTTCTTAAGACACAGCTCTGGCTTGAAGACTCAACTTGCATTTGTTCTCAGCTGATAATTTGGGAGGCAAATAGAGTGTGAGTGCTTTTCTTGCACGGGACATGGATACCAAAATGTAATTTCAACATGTGCTTTCAATCTTTTCCCCCCCAGAGTTTATCAGAAACCGAACAACAGGAGCTGAAGCAGCGTGAGGAATATCTGAAGAAAAAACGAGACATGCTGCTGGCCACGAAGAAAGAGTCAAAAACCAGGGCAGCAACACCCCCAGCCACTGACCAGAAAGAGGAGGAGACACCCAAACAGGTGAAGCACCCCCACACCTCAGCCAAAACCCCACGGGTGGCTCCAGGGCAGGCGTTGATGCTGCTGAACGGTGGGGCAGGGGCAAAAAGCCCATTCCCCCTCTGGGCCGTGTCCCCTGCCAGGGCAGCTGCTCAGGGCCTGTTGTTCTGCCTTTGCTTAGGAAGTGTCAGAAGAGAAGCAGAGGTTGCTGCAGAAGAGGAAGATGCTGGCAGAGAAACTAAAAGAAGAGGTCATTAATAAGCGATAGTTTGAAGAGCTCCTTGCGGGCCCCAGGAACAGAAGGATGATTTTAGAACAGATCGGATCACCAGTGAGTGGAGGGGTTTGGTTTCCAATCTTACCTGTAGCTTTCTAGAACTCTCAGACAAGCAGCTCAGCCCTTGGTAAATCACTGTTGCAACTGCACTGACCCGCCGTGAGCGCCCGTGCCCAGCAGGGAGCCCGGGACAGCCTGCAGTGCCCACACCTGCCCCAGCCTCTGCAGAGCCTGCACAACAGCAGCACAGCTGGAGAGCAGGTGAAGTCATTCCTGTGGCAGCAGGTCAGAGCTAGACACGGTAACTTTGGCTTTTTTAACAGTACACAACTTGGTCCCTTTATTAGCCCATCCTAAAATCACTCTTTGCAGCTGTGCAACGTAATAAAGGCCGATTCCCCAAGGAAGTGCAACCTTGGCCACCTCAGTTTTCAGGAAGGTGATGCAGCGTAGGGATGTAAGAACGGACTGCAGATTACAGCCTTCTACAGGCTCCTGGGGCCCTTCACCAGCCCGAGGTCCAAGTTTGCTACCAACACTACTTTAGGTTAAAGGAATTGCTTTGGTTGCAAAGCTGGGGCTGTCCCCAGCAACTCCCTCCCAGAGTGTAGAAATCTTTCACATCTTTACTGGTTTGGCCTTGAGAGACTGGAAGTGGGGAAAGAGGCCCCCCTTTGCCCAGGGCATCACATCCCTGAGTGCCCCAGCAGCCCATGGGAAGAGAGACAAACCCACCTGGTGCAGTTCCGTGTCCTTTTTATTAAACTAGCATTTCTAACCGGTACAGTTGGCAGGTGCTCTGTTCTTTTCCAAAAAGGGGGGTAGTGGGAGGGCCCCAGGCAGAGGAACCAGCACTGAGGGGTGACAGCCCCAGGCACAGCCATAGCAGAGCGCTGGGTGTCTGTCACCTCCTGGCAGTGTAGGTGGCTTTAATGGGACAGCTCGTGCCACATGGCCCCCAGAGAAACTCACCACGTTCTTGGTGTTGCTGCACAAAATTCTCCTGTGGGTCTGTCTGTGAAGCTCCTGCCGGGGCTGCAGCGAGGCCTGGGGGCGAGAGCAGGGCCAGGACTGAGCTCCCCTGGATCCCTGGGCTGGGGGGCTGTTCCAGAGGATCAGGACACGCAGGTCCCTCCAGGGGTGCAGGTGAAGGCACATCCAGGGCAGCTGCTCCGTGGCCGGGGAGTTGCTGTGGAAGTTCATCTTCCATGGGGAAGCAGAGCTGGAGGCAGGTGCTGATGGGGATGCTGCAGCTCCTTTCCAAGCAAACTCTTCCTCAGATTGGAGCTGTTCCATCCCCCAGGTGGGAACAAGGAGTCCCCTCTGGGGGGGCTGGAGCCCCCAGGGGCAGCCCCGCTGTCCCCACGTCCATCCAGTGCTCAGGCATCAGAGCTGCTCTCACCTTCCCTCCGGGATCCCAGCTGGGGCTGGAGAGGCACTTTGGGAACTGCAAGGACAACCCATCTTAGACAGTGCCCTGAAATGGCCACAGGTCACTCACCACGTGCAACAAACCAAACCAAAGCAGCCGTTATGGAATTACAGGGTCACATTTTAATTCCTGAATTTTACAGTTCAGCATTAATATCACCACATGTATACAAATGGTGTAAAACAAGTACAGTGGTATCTTTAATACAAAATAAACTTCTGTTTTATGGAAAAAAACTATACTTCATATCTACACAGACAGCCCATCTTTTTCCAAACAAGAGCTAAAATTAAAACTAACTACAAAAAAAAAAAAAAATAATCTCCAAAACAGAGAAACTGCTTCAGTTTAAACTATTCCAGGAGAAATGGACCCATAACACGTATTACAAGAGTGACCTATGTGGTGGATTGCAGTTGGTTCCATCCTTTAACACTTGGGAAGTTTCCTCTCGCTCTGTCATGATCTCGGATCACAATGGGCAAACTAACATTGAAATATTTACAGTTCTCGTGCTGCTCTGGAAAATAAACCCTGGACTGTTTGCCTCCCCCAACTGCCCTCTTCCTGTCACCCACGTGGAATGTGCTTTTGTTTGTGAAAAAAGCAGCTCTTGTCCCACCCAGGTTCAGGTGCTGCTTGTCCATCCCGTCCCAGATCCCGGTGTTGTCCTGGCAGTAATTCCAGCTTGGTCCAAACTGACCTGGGTGCTGACCTGCTGCTTTAATTCCTCCCGAGGAGAAGCCTGTGAGTGTTTCCCACTGCCAGCTTGATCCTGCAGGGTGAACTGCCGAGCACAAGGGCCGCTCCAGCTGAGGCAGCTCTGGGAGCGCAGCTGGAATTCGGGATCTCACCCACCTCGGAGCCAACGGCTCTGGGCTGTGCCATGGACAGCACCAAGCAGCTCCTGCAGACACTCCAAAAGCTTTTGCTCCTTGGCTTTGATCTTACTGCTGTTACCTCACCCCAAACACCAAGCCAAGCCTTCCATTTTGGATCCAGCTTCGTTCTCTCCCCCGGGGAAATGCAGATCAAACCTCCCCTGAACTGCTCTACCAACTCCCCACGCGCTGCAACTGCAGCCTCCCTCCCTCACACCATGAGAAACGGGATTTAGTTGGTAAGAAATGGTCCCAAAACGTGGATTGTTCTTATGCAAATAGAGTTAGTTTTCCCTTAAAATTGTTTTTAAAAGAGGCATTGCTAAAAGAACACAACTGACAGCACCATTACAAAATTAAGATTACTGGGTTCAAAATTTAAGCTCGACTTTTATTTTTTTTCCTAGTTCTGTTAAACACTGGGGAAACCCTGCAATATATTTTAAAAAAAGTATTACCATACCTTTCCCTCCCCCTGCCCTCCCGACACCTGAGACTTTCCTTGCTGAGAAGCCATCATCCAGGTTCTGAGAATACTAACCCACTTTTTTTTTTTTTTCATTTTTCATTTTTTTGACAGCCTGAATGGCAGACTCCTTACTTTCTAGAAAGACATTAAGTTCCTTGGAAGCTTTGTGTTTACAGAACTAACCCTTTCTAGTTGATACACCGAGTTTCTCTTGCTACTCCTTGTATTATCTTAGTTACTCATGGGAGAAAGCTTTCTGAATCGGACTCTTTTTAGCTCTTGAAACAGTTGCAGCATTTGAAACCCCGTAGGAAAAGTTCTTATTCCAAAGTTTTGGTTTCTTTTATGAACCCAGACGAGGTCTTTTCCTTGGAGATGTCTCCTCCTCTTCATCATCATCTTCATCATCAGGATAATCCACTAGGCCAACTAGACTTCCCTGCCAGGTAGAGAAAGGGAAAAAGGAAATTCTCACCTTGAAAAAACACCGAGGAAAGTGCAATTTTAGGAGCAGCCCCAGCCCACGTGTCAGGACAGCCCAGGGTGCAGCAGCGGGTTTGCCGGTCTGGAGAGCGGTGCTGATGCTGCAAAAAGCACTGCAGCCCCCTCCCTCCTCCGGCTCTGGCCCTACAACTGCTTACGAGTCCCTTCTGCAGCTCCCAGCTGGATGGGCACAAATCCACTGCGCTCCCTGAGATCCCTCTGGCTGCTCAGCCTCGGGGTGGGCAATCCAATTCCTGCCCCACAGAGGGGTCATCCCTGCCTTGGGCTGCTAAAAACCACCCCACAGCTGCCTGGCAGGGGAGCACTAACCGTCCCCAAAACCCCAATGTCCCCTGTCCATCACACACGGAGCAGCGACCGGGCAGGGAACAAGCTGAGGAAGGGCAGCAGTGAGAGTGAGAGGAAAATGTGGGACGAGATGTGGCACCAGAGACCAACGGGCTCCAGTCCCACCCAGCCCCTCCCTGACCCTTCCCCACCCCTCAGGGCTTCACTGGGGGTGACTCTGAGCCCCCCCAGGCACTCCCGTGCCACTGTCCCACCTTGGGCGCCGTCACCGCCGGGGCCAGGGCCGTGCTCTTGGAGGAGGAGCCGTTGGAGCTCGCCGGGGACGTCTGAGCTGCCACCGATTTACTGTTGGCACCGTTGGCTGCGCTGGCTGAGTGGGAAAAAGTGAATTTGAATCCCCCAGCTGAAGTCCTTTTTGGAAGATTCTCTTTGTCTTCGCTCTCCTTAGCTGAGGGACAAACATGGCCACACTTAGGAACAGCTGCACACAGGAGCACCATCTGCATCACAGCACGAGCGCGGGGCAAGAGCCGACGGGTTTTTGGTTGTCCTTTATCTCCAAACGGACAGTTCCCCATCTGGCCTCACCCAGGGCCCTCAGCAGCGAACCGAGGGCAGGGGGACACGGCTCCCTCAGAGCACACAAGCACAGTCTTGCCTTTGAGTGCCACTTACTCTACATGCGTGCCCAGAGCAGTTTAACTCGTTATTTTAATCCTAAACTGGCTTGCAAAGACACGCTCAGATCTCCTGACTGACTTACACAGAACAGCCTCAGTGCTGCTCGTGGGACAGAGCACAATCCACGGATCCGCCACGGAGCCCTTCCAGAGCCAACAAGCTCAAGCAGAGTAAATACCTTTTTTAGTCTCCATAAATTTTTCATAGCTATCTGGGAAATCATCCTCCTGCTTCGATTTCTCAACCGGAGGGACAACAGCTTCTCCTTCTTCCTCCTCATCTTCATTGAACCACATCTCCTCGTCCTCCTCCAAGGCCCGGGCGTCCCTGCGGAACCTGTTGCTGCGCAGGATGGAGGGGACGCTGCAAGAGACACAGCACAGGGGCTGCAGCTCTGCTGCTGTGCCACACCCCACAGCAGCAGTGGCTTCCACACTTCCACAGGGAGTTCCCCTCCATTCCCAGCTCTGCCCCACCCCACCTGACAGCGACCCAGACCGAGTGCCAGCTCCCCCGACAGACCCCGAGCACACCAAGCAGGGCCCACCTGCTCAGCTTCTGGTTCTGTCGGTCTTTTTCTTGCTCATACTTGGTCTTCAGTCCCTTGAAGGTCTGAACGTATTCAATAGATTCAAGTGCATTGTAGAAGTTTTCAACTATGTGTGCAATAAGGGACTTGATGTCTTCCTGCAGGAGAACAAGACAGGCTGTCAGTCTCATGGTCACAGCCAGCAGCTCAGAGAGCTTTTGAGTTTAGTTTGGAAAGGAATTGTTTCCTTGCCCAGAACCAAAATATTATTGTACAATACTGTGCAAACGTGAAGTGTTCAGATTTATCTTTAATAAAAGACCTGGGATCTAGAAATAATTTAGACTTTCCCACAGACCCAGACAATACTCAGCAG